AATGCTGCGGTCACCGCCGTGCGGGGCTGACCCTGCCCTTCATGCCGCCGGGGAGGGCAGAGCGAAGCCCTCGCAGTCACAGCGTGGGTCGAACATGGCCCCTGGCAGGGACTGAAACGCGTCTCGACTCTCCTGCAGGTGCCTGTGTAAGGTGAAGGAGAGCACGCACTCGCTCTGGGTCTGGCTGAACCAGCCTGAGGAGAAGCAGAAGTACCTGAACCCTCTGTACTCGCACAACGCCCTGGTCATCTGGCCCTCCGTCGAGCCGCAGAGCATCCAGCTCTGGCACGGTGAGCCGGGTCCGGCACTTGCAAAACCCAGCTTCAGCTCCAAGCAGGGCTGGGCGTGGGAAAGCTGCTCTGCTTTCCCCTCTTGCCAGGGCTACAGCACAGCTGAGGTAACACCTAGCCTCTTCTCTCCCAGGTTTATTCTTCCGATGGATCCGTTCATCCCAGTACCTGGACGAGGCCTGGGCAGAGATCCAGCGGGTGGTAGGAGGCAACAACCCTCCTGTCAAGGAGAGCGCAGGGAAGAGGCTGAGCCAGTCCCTCTCCGACCCCGCTGCTCGGACTGAGAACGAAAGATGAACAGCAGCGTGGGAAATTCAGTCCCCGCGGGCTGCCAGGCCAGGGTGACACTGCCGCTTTCCGCAGGGAGCACTGTGCAGGACACAGGCCCCACGGAGCCCTGAGGACAGCTCTGGGAGGGGGGACGGACTCCTTCTCACAGCCTCTGGGCTGCACAGACTGAGCCTGGTTCAGTAAAGTCGTCTCTCGCAGCCTGCGCCTGCTTTCTGCTCTTACCCCGGGGGCAGGAGCAGCGGGGCTCTGTCCCCAGCAGGATTTCAGCAGCGCTCGTAGCTGGACTGTCGGTGGAGCAGAAGGGCAGGAGGTCGAGGTGCCAAGCAGCATTGGCCTCCAGCAGCCCCTGCCCGGCTGGCAGACACGCTTGGCACAGCAAAAATTAACACCCGAAACCCACAACACCCTCCCCACAAAGGGCACCGCGGCTGCAGTTTGCGTGTCGCATCAGTCGCTCTGAGCAAGAGCAAGCTCAGGGAAAAATCTGCCCTTGAAACCAGTTTTGAGGAAGGAAAGAGATAGGAACCCCCCCTCCAGCCACGGCGAGAGGGCTGGAAGGAGGAGGGTTTGCAGCACAAGCGTCCTAGTGCAGGAAATAACTGTTCCATGAGGAAAGTTGGCTCAGGGTCAGTGCAGCAAATAAACAAAGCGCCAGAACTGGGCGCGTGCGTGTCATCTGGAAAACAATGCCTGGCTGCTGCACCTCCAGCCTGTTCACACTTGAGGGCTGGACCTGACCCGCAGCTGCAGGTCCTCCCCCAGAAAGAGTTAACGTGGGGTGGACAGAGGACCCGGGAGTATCGCCCTGCTGGCTGCCCAGGGGTGGGGAGCAAGGCGCTGCCAACAGAGCTGGGAAAGTAAAGCACGCAAGTTAATTTTGTTCTAGACCAAAAAAAACCCCACAGAGGTGCTTCTCCTTGTGTTTATAAAAGATTTCTATTTATTTCCTGATGACTTTTTTTCTCCCCTGATGTATAAACATGCCCAGCAGGGCAGGAAGCATCCCCCGGGGCAGGCAGGCAGCCAGCCCGACTCCCTTCCTCGCCTCCACGACCTCCTGCGAAAGCCAGTCCTGCCCTTTCGAGCCGGTTGGGTTTCCAATTCCCCACCTTCACATAGCCCCCGAGCTCGCTGCTGCTTCCCACTGCCTCCTGAGGAGCAGACCCACTTCAGGCCTTAACAACAGTTCTGCGCAGGAGCCGATGGATTGGAGGAGGAAAAGGAAGAGGAGACGTCCTCCTCTAAGCTTCAAATTCAAACTCAAAGTACTGGGGATCGAAGTAATGGATGCGAACGTAGCCATCCTCACCCCCGCTGCTGTAGCTGTACAGGAGGAAAGACAAGAGAAAGTCACTGATGCTGTCAGGAGCTCACTGCCTCGAGGTTTACACCAAACAGTGGTGAAGTCTGTTCTCACAACCCCCTCCAGAAACTAATAAAGGAGTCACAAAACAAAAATGTATCAGTGATGCAGCCAAAATGTGCAGTAGGGCGTTAACGCCCCGGCCAGCCTGCGGGGAGCAGCGGGGCTGGAACGGCAGAATGAAGGAAGGCGCCTGCTCCGTTCCCGCTGCAGAGCTCCGTGCGCCCAGCCGTATCCGAACCAAAGGGTGGGCTTGGCTTAGGCATGCTGCAAGACCCACAGAGATCCTCACCTCTTCCCGTCAGGGTGAAAAGCAACGCTATTTATCGGACCAAAGTGACCCTTCACTCTGCCAAACTCTTCTTCAAAAGCCAAGTGGAAGAACCTGGGAGGAGGAAGAAGATTTAAATCGTCACAAGAAGTCCAGAGCCTGATAGTGACACAATCAGGGTTTCCTTAAAAAAACTCTGCAAGTTTAATGACTCCTCCAACACGGCAAGGAGCAAGATGCTCTGGGAACAACACCCCTGGGCTGCCAGGAGTGCTCCAGGTGAGGACTCAGCCCTGCCAGAGGAGAAGAACCAACCTCGCCTCGAACTTCCCAATCCTGGTGGAGGTTGTGGTCACATCCATGGCCTCTTGCCCACCACCAAGCACGACCTGCAAAGGAGAGAAGCCACAATGCCTGAATGCTGTGTACACCACACGCTCAGCACCAGCCAGGGGAGGAGGGAGCTGAGCCCCGGGTAAGCCTCCTCCTAACGCAGCAGATCCCACAAACTCCTGAGCAGGCCTGACTGCAGCCCCAGAGAAGCTCCCACCTCCCAGACACACTTGTTTGAAGATCAGAGGACACAAAGCCTTGTTCTCTGCACCAGACTGCACCAAAGTTCCCCAGACCCACCCCACAGTCACATTTTTTAGGAGGACTGGCGATGCTCTGTCTCCCAGCTACCTGGGACAACGCAGGGGTCACAGCAAGACTGTTACGATGAGCGAGCTCATGCTTACGTGATCAAAAATGGGGGAGAGTGCGGCAGAGTTCACCGGTCGCTCCGTCCGGAACGTCTTCAAATGCTCAAGTGTTGTGCAATCAAATAGCTAGGAGGCAAAAGGGAGAGAGTTACTCTGCAAGAGGGCTGGCAGCCCAATTAACTCGCCCAAATCTGGTGCTAGGCCTCACCTGGGCAGGTTTTACCTCTACCATCTCTCATGGGCACCCAAATCCCCAAAACATTTCCCCAGAATCCTGAAGTACTGGCCTAAGTAACTCTCACCTCCATCATCTTCCAGAGGTGGCAAACCGAGGATGTATTTTGGCAATGTTGTTTCCAATGCCTGGCCATTATTTAACACAGTGGCACCTCCCCTTTCTCACTGAACTTCCCCACTAAGACTTTCCACTTACTCAAATGTCCAAGGACCAAACCTCTGCGACAGCCACAGCTCTGAGCAGAGGTCCTGCAAGCAAGTACCACCAGTCCACGGCATTTCCAAGGGGAAACCTCACCTTGGCCGTGTTGTCCTTGGAGGCAGTGATGAACATAGTCATGTCCCTGGAGGTCTGAATATCGTTGATTTGCTTGGTGTGTTCCTTGATGTTTGAAAGCTGCTCCCCTGACTGAAGGGCAAAGAAGGCAGTTTCAGTGTGCTGGCAAGCGAAGCTGGGCGTACACACGACTTCTCCACTAAAAACAACTCAGGAGATGTCGCTGTCAGCAGCGGGGCAGGCGTTGGTACATCAGCCTCGCTCAAGAGAGGCACATACTTTAACCACCCTTCCCCAAGGCTGCTGGTTTGAGCCAAAGAGCCCATCTTCTGTCCCAGGGTCACAGCAGGACTGCTGCGATAGCCTCCCCCAGGCCCTGCTCCCCGATGGAGGTGCCGTTCCGTATCAGACTGACCTTGGCACTGAACTGGTTCAGCTCTCCGCTCTCATGTCCTGCGATGATGAACTCTCCCAGGGGGCCCCACACAGCACTCGTGATTTTAGAATCACTGCAGGGGATTTTCATGTAAGGCTCGTTGTTCTCTGCAGGAAGGAAGGAAGGAAGGAGACAGACAGACAGACACAGTGGCACCAACTCTGGCGATCAACGCTTCCCGTTATTCCCTGGTGCAGGCACTGGCCCAGACTCCTCACCGATCTGGCTGGGGTCCCGGAGGTCAAAGAAGCTCACAAAACACTGATATCCCATCTGCTTGTCTGTGGAAAACATTATGATGTTTCCTCCAAAGTCAAAGCCACACGTCCTCACTGCCGAACTGGTCTTCACCAGAGCCAGCTGCTTCCCTGAACAGAGCAGAAACCGCCCGTCACTTCAGCAGCTCTTTCGCTGCGGGGTTAATGGAAACGAGCAGCTGAGTGCAGGGTCAGGGGGAGGATGAGAGCATCGGGTGCAGCTGACAAGCAGGTTCAGTGACCTGCAAGCACTAACCACGTGTTTTGACTGCTTGGGTGGTAAAAGTGAGTAAATTCACTCAATATTCCCTAGAAACCAGGCATGTACACAAAGCCTCCCCTCAAGCAGTCTGAGTTTGGATTCCGACCTCCTTCAGAGGGTGAACAAGCACACGTTACGCTGCCACCACGCACTCCAAGCTTAACAGACCTCACGGCAGGACAGAGCTGTGACTCAAAAGCAGCTGCGTGGGAAGAGTCTCACCTGTTTCACAGTCCCAGAGCCGACAGCTGTTATCTGCAGAGCCGGTGAGCACATGTCGTGTGTCCCCTAGGTCACCAGTTAGGGAACATCAGCACAGTCTCAGCCCCAAAAAGCTACTGTCTGAATTCCCAGAGAAGATTTATATAAAAGATTAAAAAGGTGTAGTATACAGAAGTTGGACAAGTTCCATTCCAGGACCACCAATACTCCAGTACAGACAGATGCAGAGTCCAAGTACTCCCATTACAAACCCCACAACTTTCCTCTTAAACAAAAAGGTTCAGCTCTTGCATTAGCACAATCTTTGCATGTTTTTGTCTCTGCTGCCTACACTGAAGATGGAACTTTCCCTGAACTCCCAGCAAAAGCAATGAAGCACAAAGGAGAGCACACAGGGCACACTGCACACGGTATTCCAAACAACCCAGGAAAAAAATAGAATCATAGAATCATAGAATGGTTTGGGTTGGAAGGGACCTTAAAGATCACAGAGTTCCAACCCCCTGCCATGGGCAGGGACACCCTCCACTAGACCAGGAGGGACACCTCCCACTAGTCCAGGTTGCCCAAAGCCTCATCCAGCCTGGCCTTGAACCCCTCCAGGGATGGGGCACCCACAGCTCCTCTGGGCAACCTGGGCCACTGCCTCGCCACCCTCATAATGAAAAACTTCTTCCTAATGTGTAGTCTAAATCTCCCCTC